TTTTAGTGAATCCAATGTTTTGTTGGACGGACTGGATAAGGATAAATGTTCAAAAGACTATTTTACCCTTGTAAATTTATAATTTTTATTTAATATATAATTTTAAATTTGTAATCTATAATTTATAATTTAACAATACTAAAAAAATTTAATTTATAAGGCCATAATTTTTAATTTATTATTTTTAATTAAATTAAATTTATAATTTATATTTATATTTATATTATATTTTTAGTCAATATATAATTTTAATTAACAAACACTAAAAAAATAATTTTATTTAATATATAAATTTAATTTTTTAACAACACTAAAAAATTTAATTTATAAGGCCTAATTTTTAATTTATTATTTTTAATTAAATTAAATTTATATTATATTTATTTTATATTTATATTATATTTAATATTTTTTAGTCAATATATAATTTTAAATTAACAACACTAAAAAATAATTTTATTTAATATATAAATTAATTTTTTAACAACACTAAAAAAATTTAATTTATAAGGCCATAATTTTTAATTTATATTTTTATTAAATTAAATTTATTTTATATTTTTTAGTCAATATATAATTTTAAAATTAACAACACTAAAAAAATAATTTTATTTAATATATAATTTAATTTTTTAACAACACTAAAAAAATTTAATTTATAAGGCCATAATTTTTTAATTTATTATTTTTTAATTAAATTAAATTTTATAATTTATATTTATAATTATAATATTTAATTTATAATTTATATTTTTTATTTAATATATAATTTTAAATTAACAATACTAAAAAAATAATTTATAAATGTTCAAAAGACTATTTTACATTTTTCCAATTGTTTATTAAGTAATAGCATGAAAGTAAAATAGACATTTCACACATTAGTCTCATGGATACCAATCCCATGGAAATAATCTCACCTCTCCCCCTAAGATACAATAATCCCTCATATGAGGGACTATTAATCCGGAGCCAAAAAATTGAGCAAAACAACGGACTATTATTTCGAATGGACTAATAATACAATCCCATGACCCAATCCTTCAAAACAAATTAAGGATAAATTACACTAATCACTTGAGATTTATATCAACTATAAAGATAAATTATAAATACACCTCCTAAAATTTATTTAAAATACGAATTGCCTCGTGTGATTTTAAAAATTATAAATATCCCCATTGTCATAAATTTTTATTTAACAAAATTACTAAAAAAATAAAATTTTTAACTACTCTCCTATACAACAATAAAATTATCCGAATTGTTAATTAAAATATATTTTTAACATCATTAAAATAATTAATTGATTTGATAATTTATTAATAAAATTAGCTATTTGTTATGCAATTAGAAACTTGATAGGATATGATGTAAGTTCTAGAATCACATAGGACAACTCATATTTTAAACAAATTTCAAAAGATGTATTACCCTAAATATAATAAATCTTACCCTAAATATAATTATATTGAGCCTCCTTTGTGATTCATCAAGTTGAGAGGGGTTGTTGGTCCATTCCTCTAGGGCTTATCTTAATGATCTAAATCATTTATTTAGAATGTTCATTGAAAACATAATTCATGTAAAAAAGTTGATATGTTAGATTAAGTTCTCTAATGTTTCTCTACTATATTTGGTTTATCATTTAGTATCCTATAGTGTTTCTCTACTATATTTGGTTTATCATTTTGTGTCATTATTGTATTAATTTGATTAGTCTCACCATGACTATTCATATGTATTATTAATTAATATAATAATGACAAAAAGTCAACATCCCAAACAGGGTCAAAAATTATTTTTAGCATATGCCAAACAAGAAAAATGCTATATATTCAAAAAAAAAATATTCCAAAAATGAAGTGTATATCGTAAATTCAAAATTTGTGTAACATGAGTTACAATTGAAATAAATATGATACATATGTGTACCTTTAAAAAAAGATTCTAGATAATTTTTGTGTACCTTTTAAATATTTTTTTAGATAATTTTCTTGAGTACGTAGCAATGTTAAAAATTATAAGGTGAGTTGGAAATTCTCACACCATTTCATTTGTCCTCTAGGTTACTAATGGTTGCTCACATTGTTTTTGTTTTTATTCAAAAGTAATTGTAAAATATTTTATTTTTGGATGAGTACATAATCAGTGTGTTTGATTTCAATTTTATAAATTTAATTTTTTGAAAATTAATTTTTTGTTTTTCGTTTTTTTTTTATTTTTAGTGAATATTTTTAAAATTTTAAGCATTTTTTTTTTAAAATGTACCTTACTTAGATGTATATAAATAGTAAAATATTTGTGAAAAATATTTTAAAAAATTAATAAATACAAAAATATGAAAAATGTACTAAATTTTAGAATTTTTTTATATTTAGTATTTTTTTTAAAAAAATCATAAATATTATACTTTTTAAGTGTATTTATATTAGATGCCTAAAAAAGAAAAAATAGAATTTTCTAGAATGCGAATTCTGAAAATAAAAATCAAACAAAGTGAATGTTTTTGAAATTTAGATAATCACTCCTATTTTAGACTGACCAACTTGTTTTCAATATTTGAACAAAACAATGTGTAACAACACTAACAAGAAGTTGAAAATGTACCCAAACCAAAGTTGAAAACAATTTGATTTGCTAATAATTGATTATTTATTTTCAAATTAATTTTGTTCTTATATCATGGTTTTTAGCAACATGTCTTAAACCTTCTATGGATTCGCATAAGGAGTTTTTTTTTGGAGTACACAACAATAGATGTTTTTGCCCACGACAATTGATGTGGTTTTTTTATTAGAGTGTTAAGGTTGAAAAAAAGTATGTTAAGGGGTTTTTTTGGACTGTATTATATTGAAGTGTTATGTTTGAGTGTTGCGAATTGAAAACATGCATTTGCTCAAAGCTTACAAGGAGGTTTTGTACTCATTCTGAAATATTTAAAAAATCTCACATCTTTTTGAAATGTTTAAAAATTTTCATATTTCAAGTCATTTTTGTATTCCTTTTGAAATGTTTAAAAAATCTTACATTTCAAATCATTCCAAATAAAAAAGATTCTCATATAAAAATTCATCCCAAATTTAATTCTCATAAATTTTGTGTCTTAGCTTTCTAGCACAAAATAAAAATAAATAAATAAATAAAAAAGAAGAAGAAGCAGAAGAAGAAAAAAACATAATAAAAATAAGAGTGTAACCATAAATCTAATTTTCAAATAATATACTAAATCTACCTTTCCAAAATTAATGGGACTAATTGATTTATAAAAAAAAATTCTTAAGACTAATCGGATCACCATTTCTCAATATGACATTTATAAGTAAATTTTCCTTAATTATAATGACAAATATTTTGATCGATTTGCACGGTAATTAAAATTAATTCAGTGAAAAGTAAAATCATAGTAAATATTATACGTAAGGCAGTGATATAAGCAAGTCTACAAAATCTACATTTAAAAACAATTTTTTTTTTAAATAAAAAATCTACCTCAATTATTATTAAGATTTCCACATTAGTACTAATCTAACCATTGATTTTTTTTTTTTTTTTTCTTTTGCACATTTTTTTCTTTCTTTTGCATATTTTGTCTTCTTCTCTTTCTTTTTCTTTTTCTTTTTCTTTTTCTTTTTCTTTTTCTCAATCATCGAAATTCCTTTGTTGAATAGATCTCAACTAGAGGAGTATAAGAGAAGGAATTGATCTGTTTTTTTAATTTATTTTTTATTTTTTAAAGTTTTGAAATCTATTTCAAATATAAATATAACATGTTTGTTGTATGTGGTGCCTGATTTCAAATACTAAGACGTTAATAAGAGTATTTTTGTATACAACCCCCCCAAAAAAAAAAAAAAAAAAAAAAAAAAAAAAAAAAAAAAAAAAAAAAAAAAAAAAAAAAAACAGTAAATAAAAAACAAAACAGACACCAGGATACCTCCTAAATTACGAAACGACGATGTTACTAGGATGAGGTCTCATGCGAAGCAGCGTGCGGTTTCCTGCAGAGGATCATGTGCATCGGACTAAATATCCCACTCTCTCCACCTCTCGTGAGAAAATCAGCGGTCTTGAAAAGCATCTCGTGAACATCAACCGTTCCTTTGGGCGCGATTCCCAAAGTCGAGAGTACAATGATCACAATGTGGTTCCGCCAGTAGGCGATCCTCCTCGGGTTCGGGTTGCTCGGGTTGGCCATTGGTTCTGCCCAAGCCCGGCCCGAATTGCAATTCGGGCATCAAAAATCTGCCCAAGCCCGTCCAGATTACAAGATATAGTTGCCCAAGCCCTAAAAAAACTCGGGCTGGGCTCGGGTTGCTCGGGTTGAGCCCGCCCGAGTTGCACCCCTACCCCTTGCTGGGGGTCGCCCGCATTTTCCTAAAAAAAAAAAAAAAAATCCCTTTCAACAAATTTCTGTATACTAGCCAAATCAATTTACAACAGAAGCATGAAGCCTAGGGGTTGACATGCATCACTATCTCTAGGAATCATATTTTTCTTCGAGTGCCTTCACAAATAAATTGCCAAAATTTGCCGATAAAAAGTTCCCAAAAAAATTTCAATATAAGAGTGGTGAAACATATTTCTGCTGTTATCTACAGCCGCAAAGTTTGCTGGGTGAACTATCGACAAATTCACCTACGTTAAGTTTTCCTATAATGTAGCCAAGGGTTTACACTGCTATGCCTGCGGTGCAGCTTCTCATCCACCTATTGTCTTCAACTGTTTTAAAAATAGATAAAGAAATAAAAATTCAACCTCAATATATGTTACAAGGACTCGAGTATAACTATTGGGTGTAAGTGTAAGTGACAAACTTTCCTAAATCAAAATCTCAGAATACTGGAATGTGTACTCGAGTACAACTATTGGGTGCAGGTGTAAATGTCAAACTTTACTAAATCTCAGAATACTGGAATATGTATTCAGAAGTTTAAGTATGGATACAGGAACACATATATGTTGCGTATTATACAATATTCTTAGACAAGAATATGTAAAATATTTAGAAATATATTTAAAAATCTCTTCCATCCATATAAGGGACAATAAATATTTATTTACTAGAAACTGTGAGCTTCTTGTTCTTCAAACATCATATAAATTAGAAAATCTAAGTGTCTAAATTGGTTACAAGTGTCGGACATATACCCCCCATTCTTATCCTTGTCATATCTAGTGGACACAGTATTATGGGAGTATAAGAAAATTCTGTGAAACACCTGACAACAAAAGTATAGAACACTAGGAAGCAATGTATATGGTTAATAAGGCTCACCATGCTCTGTTTATTCATGAATGCCATTATCACAAAAAGACTGGTTGTTCTGAGAGTCCTGCAGACAAGCTTTGGTTGAGTACTCATCTGGAGGAGTGGTAAGTATGTCCGAGATAAACTTTATCAAAGAACAAAGCCCACCTAAAAAGTTGTGATCAATAACCCCTTCACCATCCACAACGTGTGCAAAATCAACCAGTTTGACTTCTGCACCGGAGCCCCCCTGTCCATACACCATAAGGACCGAACAAGAATAGAAATGGTAAATAGTTTGATCCTCAAACCAAGCTTTCAGCTGCTGCAGCTGTGCCAAAATCCCAGTGGAACCACCGTAAACAACTGACGCGAAAGCACAATTTGGGTTCAAACCTAAATCTGGAGATGCATTGGAAGAAACATATTTGTTCAGAACTAATCTAACATCCTGTGCAGAAAGACTCTTGAAAAACTGTTTGTCAGGTTTCCAGAATTCTGACTCTTTGCTTCCATAAATTTGGAACCCTGATATCCTGAAACCCAATTGGATGCTTGCAGTTTCCCTATCTTTCTTCAAGCATTTTGCTATGTAGTCCTCGGGTGATTGCGGAGGCCAGGTGTTAGCACCCATCTTAATGTCCATGACAGACGGGTTGAGGTGACCTGAGACAATATCTTGCAAAACAAGGTGAGGACACAGGCCAGATCCGTCAGATGCCTCTAGAACCCGAGTGCCATGGAAAACAGGGAAGAACCTGCGAATGTTCTCTGGAATCCTAGTGTTGGAGGAGAATGATTTATAGAAGGTTACTTCAGCGGACCCACGTTCACCACTCTGGAGAGGCTTGTAGAATAGTCCGGAATCATCCACAAGGGGCCCAAGCTTCCCATCACCAGCTTGATGACCAGCAACTTGATGAGCTGGGACTTTAAGCATGTCTAGAGAGTATGATATCTGAAGAACCTCACTGCAAAGAAGAAAAATTAACAATTTTTATCTTTTGTTCTATCAAATTGTATGTTGTCACAGAAATTCATGTATATATATGTATACCTACAGAACTGAAGTAGAATCAGCTTTTGGAGTTGGATACTTCACAAATATGAAACAAGTGCTAACTCAATAGATATATTCTCCTTAAGAAAACTATGAACAACTCTCTCATGTAATTTGTTGACCATGAAGCAAAACTATCAAAGCACCAAATACTATGTTAGTTACGAACCACTGTGGTTATGTTACAAAGGGGGCACCATAAGATAAGTTTTAGTTATGGACCATGTGATTTTGTTACAAATTATTGTGGTGTAGTTACGAAATAATATATGATATGCACCTTTTTAGGCTTGTGTATCAAAGCCTTTTCCCTTCAGAACTTGATCATTATCATTATTTATTAGGGAAATTGGCCCACCTTAAATGGGCAATTGAACACCGAACCTCAAAGGTCATGTTGGTTCCACTCTGGAGTTTGGACTAGAAACCAACTAGGGCAACTATGTTGGCGGATGCAGTATATTCAACTATATGAAATAAATAAGTACAGATAGCCAATAGCTTGCTCCTGTGCTTACCAAAGCCCAGGAAGTGAAGAAACTATCAATTTCTTGTTTTCAAAGGCAAAACAAGAATATGTACTTAGTTTTACTCTTCAAATATTAAGGCTTTGTTTATTTGAGATTTCATAACTTGTTTTTGAAGTTTTTTATTTTTTTGAAAAAAGAAAACTTCAAAAACAAGTTAGACTAAAACAAACACCAAAAAATATATTTTGAAGTTTTAAAAATTATTTTGGCCCCAACCAATAGAAAATCTTAAGAAAGTAATGAATGTTTCTATTTTTCAGAAAAGAGATTCTGAAAACTCAATCAAACATAGCCTAAGCTTTTGGTTATGGCATTACTAGATTCTATTTTTTTTAAAAAAACAAAAAGATGTTTGCAGAGTTCCTGGATTGTTTATGTTTAACTCTTCATTCAACAACTCCTCTCCAAGTATTTCTGAGAAAGAGACATTTACTCATCTATGAAAATCAACACATGAATCTAGTAAAGGACCCATGCAACATGCTATTATAGTGTCATCCAGATTTTAACCTACTTTACTATGAAATTTTTCAATACTTTTCCCAAAGCTCGTCCATCTACACAAAATTCTTAAAATAGAAATTCATACTCCTGATGTCTCATGTAAACCTCTACATTGACAAATAAAACTGAAGATTGACTTCCTCTTCACCTTCCTATTGTTGTAGATAGAAATTAGTCCTTCCAAAGAGAACAAAGACTTGTATAGACAAGTTCTATACTTTGAATTGTCAAGAGACCACAAATTTTGTTGACTATGGCTAGTAATTGGAGATGTTTCAAACTATCTAACCTAGAACGTGGATCGTTCCGGTGCATGGAACGGGAACAGGAACGTGGTACATGATCTAAAATGTAGTACGATAAGAGTAAACTTGTATATATTACACTTAAGAATTTAAAGTACTTTTAGAGTAATTTTCTTTTAACTATTAGGTATCAAGAAAAAAAAATTCATGTAGCAAATCATTTCTATGTAAATTATGACCCATTTTTTATGTTTTTGTCTTGTCAAAACTTTACTCACCTTAAATTTTATTTCATATATTTGATTTTTTTTCCTCCTAAGGTAACATTTAAAGAATATATTGGAAAAAACTTTTGGGATCACTTCAGATCACTAAATTTACTGTTTTGGAACGAAAGTGTACCATGTTTCGGAACGTGCATGCCAAGACGTAAATCACTAGGATATTAGCATTTTCTGGTAACATAGGTTTCAAACATGACACAACAAAAAATATAGAAAAAGAACATAAGGGGTCTGCATTCTGTATGTCGTTCATAAGAAAGACATAATCCTTAGCAATCAGAATGAGTCCTAGAAGGAAATTTGAATATAATTACATAAACAACAGCAATGAAATACAAAAGCAACAACAACATGCAAAGCAGTGCATCTTTCATCTTATATTCAATACAAAGCCTAGTAGGCCGCCATGCATTATACTTGAAATGGTATACACACTTGAACAATTCTACATTTCACAGAAAATATAAATACATGTATATATATATTCTACATTTCCCAACATATTTTTTGTGAAATGTTTCCCGTGTTGCATTCAAACATTAGAAAACGAGAAAATGCCAAACAACAGGTTTAACTTACACAACCAAAATTTCAAGTCCCACATAATCTATGTTACATGGACTTAGGTACAACTATCCAGTGCAGGTCCAAGCGTCAGACCTTCATAAACTTAAAACTTAAGATACTAGAATATATATCCAAAGTTAGATATGAATACGGTGACACATCATGGACACATGCATTTTGTATAATAGTCTTAGAGAATATATTGTAAATTATATAAAAACCCGCTTGAAATTAAATAGGATTTAGGGAAAATAAAGAATTCTATCTCTTATCCATTTGAGAAGCCATAAATGTTCTTTTTTTTTACAACTAAATGTGAGTTTCTTCTTCTTCAAACATGATAAAAAGTAGAGGGTTCAAGTGTCTAAAAATTGGGTATGGGTAATGGACACATATCCCACACCCATACACTTGTCATATCAGATGGACACGTACCTTGAGGGAAATAGAAGTGTCCATGTAACACACCACATAATTAACCAAAGAATGTGATAAGAAGGAAGAAAAATAATGCAAAAACATTTATGAATTCTACAAAATTCTACAAGGGTATTAATAACAAAGTATAAATTGGTCACACCACCAGAAACCCAATACAACCCAATACATCAACCATATTTATGCAAACATAATTCGTATTTTCATCAAACACCATATATGCATAAGGTCAATCATCAAATCCATTTACAAGCACAACAAAGGTAAAGTGCAATTCATACTCTATGATGAGTTTTGGCAACAAATGCAGATTACAAGAGTTAAATTTAGGGAAGATGAAAGAACATGCATAGAGATCGACGAAACAACCTCGAATTACCTGTAGATTAGTGAACACAATAGGACTAAGATTCAATTGATTTTGACAATGTGTATGCATGTGTCCATTGACTGTAAATTGTAAGTTGGTTGAAGAATCTGATTACCTCGTCTCGGCGTAGATCAAACACGGATTGATTTGCAAAGAAGAACTGAGCAACTTTGCGTGAATTATGGTGAGCGAATGGCATGAATATGAATATAAAGTAGACGAATCAGATTCCGGGGTTTTTATATAAGAGTAAATTGCTCAAAAGTATATTTGCATGGTGTCTAATGGTATAATCTACTCATTCCTGAAAATTGATTTCTGATTTTTATCCATTAAATTTAAGTAAAAATTTGGGCAAAAGTTTTATCCAATATTGCGTTGTGCAACGGAACAATTTGGGATTTATCAATTTGGTAAAATTAGTCAGTGTAATTTTTTTAAATTTAAAAATATATTTTTGTAAGGAGTTAGTCGATCGAAGAACAATCGATTAGACATCAAATCAGTTATTCATATATGCTACAACAAAATTTTATATCTCTAATGACTATGTACAGTAAATTAATGAAATGTATAATTATTCTTAATTTAATAAAAAGTTTAAGATATCTTAGATTTAATACTGATTTATGTAAACATTGAAGTAACAAAAGTTTTTTTTTTTTTTTATCAAATTTAAATTTGATAAAAGAAAATAGGAAGCGTGAGATGTTTTAAGAAAAATTTGCTCAAAACTAGTTTCAGGATTGAGTTATTTTTTATTGATGATGACAATTAAAAGTTATGTTAAAAATCATAAAAAGTCTATTAGAAAATTCATCACTACTAAACTATGATCGAAATTTTATTGAAAAAAGTGTATTAGAAAATTCATCAGCGGTAATAGTGATGATTTGAGCAAACAAATAAGGGTTAATTACACTGACGGTCTCTATAGTTTGGAGTTTGTGTTATTTTAGTCTCTGACTTTTCAATTGTGATATATTTGATTTTGAATTTTGAATCTTATTTCAAATAAGGACAATTGAAGATACTATTGGATTTTTTAAGGGTAAATTCGTCAATTTGATACAATATAAATTAATTTGACAAAAATAAATGTCAAAAAATTATTTTTGAATTTTTTAAAATTATTTTTATAAAATTATATAAAATTGATAAATCTTTTAGACATTTTTTTTTACCAAATTAATTTTTATTATGTATTTAGATGATTATCATGTAAAATTAATTTTAAAAAATCAATCATGTAAAATTATTAATTTTTATCAATTTTACATAATTTTTATCTTTGGTGGGTACAAATAATTTTTAAAAATTTTAAAATATTTTTTTGACATTTATTTCTGCCAAATTAGTTTATATTTTATCAAATTGACGATTTTGCCCTTGAAATTAAGCAATAGTATGTTCAATTGTCCTTATTTGAAACAAGATTCAAAATTTAGGATCAAACGTGTCACAATTGAAAAGTCATGGACTAAAGTGACACGAGCCCCAAACTATAGGGACTATTAGTGTAATTTACCCAATAAATAAATTAGGTGAATTGATAGATTTATAGATAAGTGATATGTAGGCAGATAAGTTAATAGATGCGTGACGTATAGACAGATAAGCGATATGTGAACAAATAGATGACAACTAAATAAAGTGTAACTTATATGTAAGTCCTCCTTGAAAGAGGTATACTCTATTTAATTCCAAAACCTTTTGGGTAGACCTAACAGTCCTGCGCTCTTTCTTTTTTCTATTTATCTCTTTTTTTGATGTCCGGCGATCGGTAACCATGTATTCTTTCTTCTCTTTTTCTTTCCGATATACAATCACTGGCAATTGGGGACCACTATCAATTGGGATTCACCGACAACCACCGACCATTAACTCTTTACTTCAACTTCATCGACGGTGAAGGAGATAAGTTTCTGACAAAGAAAAATAATAGATCTACTCTGATCTAAGTATATCTACATTAGATTCATCCAGATCTAAACCAAAAATAATTATTGGATTACAATCCTCTTTATATTGGTCTCCTTCGATCTCTTAGTTTTTTTATTTTTTCTTTACTACACACTTCTCTTTTCCTATTTTAATGAATAAATTTTTTTAAATGTTTAACAATTTTTTTTCGAGTTTTAGTTACAAGTGGTAAAAACTATAAAATTTTTAAGTTTATGCTTTTTTGATATTGAAATGAATTATATTCTAAAACTGCAAAATTTATGTAGTTTCATAGCATCCTTTAAAGTTGTAAAATTTTATAATTTCATAAAATGCTTTTACTGTATACTTTTGTAGTTTCATAATATGTTTTTCAGTTTAATTAATAAGAATAAATATTTAATAAAATCATGTTTTGAAACTGTAACAATTTTACAGTTTCAAAAAATGCTTTTCAATTTGAACAATATGGGAAATTATTTGTTTAAATCCTATAAAAATTAAAAAATAACTTATGCTTTTCCCCCTTGCTACTAATGTTTTGTTGTTACCTCCTTTTTTTTTTTTTAGTTTATCAATATATAGCACACTTTACTATATTTTTTTGCTTTAATTTTTTCATTTATTCTTTTTTTGGCAATATTTTGGACATTCCAGTGAGTCTTCAGCGATATTCTTGATATTCAACGAACATTTTGGACATTTCAGCAATTTTCAGTGATATTCATAACACTCGTTGATTCTCCAGTGAATTTCCAGTGACACTCTGGTGACTTTCCGGTGATATTGAACATTTCGACGAACTTCTGGTGACTGTCTGACGGAAGTTCGACAGTGGTAGGACGTAACAGCGTCTTTAAATTTAAAAAAAAAAATGGTAACAATTAAAAATATGTAAGACTAATTGATACAAGTGTTTTATTTTGAGACTATATGGGTTTTGAACTTGATATATAGAACCTACCGGTCAATGCCTCTTAAATAAATAAGAGTAACATGATCTTTCACATTATTATTGTTATCATGGACCCAAAAGATTTAAGGGCCTGGCTTCCCTCTAGTCCTAAATCAGATTGGAGGGTGCTGTTGGGCCTATGAGGGCCTATCATAGGTCCCTTTTGGATAATACGAACCGTTCAATATGTAGAACTCGTCGAGTACTATATGCTTGTAAAAAATCGCGTTGATCAGATATCGATAGGTATCTCATCAGATCAATTTTTTGTCAATCGTTTATTTTTTCACCCATCTATTTTTTTATGCAAAACTGATTTGATCATATAGCTATCGATATTCTATCAACATAATTTTTTACTATCAAATTATCGAAACGGGACTCGTGGTAAGCCTTCACGGACCCAACAATACTCTTTAGTCCAATTTGGGACTGGAAGGAAATGCGTGCCAAGATTTAAACTTGGGCCTAATTACTCAAGAGATCTAAAAATAGACTTTGGACTTCATCCTTTTTATATAGGGTGTTACTAGGGGTGGGCTGTAACAACCCCGACCTCTGACTAACGTTAATCCATGATTAAGTATGCCTAATTAGTAATTAAGGAGAAATTCTGAATTAAAATGCATGTGTGTGTTGCATTGTTGTGTTTATATCTGTTAGGCGTAGGAAGATCTGTTCGTGTCCTAGTTTCGGTTTGCGAATTGAAAGTCTTATCGGCCACCGATTCAGAAATTGATTAGTGTTATATGTTAGTTAGGATTTATATGATTTTATGGTAGGTTTAATTAAAATTCAATTTGGAATGAGTAAATTAGATTAATTAATGTTAAATTATTTGAGCCTAGGTTAATTATATGTTTTGCCATTGAGTGGACTACTTTCTAAAACATTGTTTGGACTTGATTTATGCATTTGTTTCATCATCTCATCCACCTCCAAGACCAAAACCGTAAGAGAGAGGGAGAGTAGGAGAAAATTGATTTCATCAAGAATTGGCTTGGAAAATTAGAGGAATTGAGGAGAATTTGCAAAATTGAGTTAGCATACTTGGAATCCAAGATTTAAGGTAGGCATTCACCCTCTTAACTATGAAATTGAATTACTAGTACAAGAATTCTAGTGAGATAAATGAACTCATGTAAGGACCAAGCTAAGAATTGGTGAATTGAAACTCAATACATACGTGCATATGTAATTTATAGCATTTGAGGTTGTTTTTCTAAGGAATCCTTGTATGCATGTCATAATCCAAGCTTTGTTTTAGAAATTCTTCATGTTCCATGTCATATTGTCATAGTTGATCATGTTTTTGGGTTGAATATTGCATTTGGTCATGTTTTGGAAGTCTTGAGTTCAAAGAATTGCATACAAGTCATGTACATGAATTAATTTAAAGTTTCAAGTTGAATGTTGCACAATTGGCATGCTTTTGGGTCGTGATTTCTTGAAATAATGCTTTAAATATGTTGTTTTATGAGTTACTAAGTGTTTTCCAAAGTTTGAGGCCCAGAAAATTGAGTTTGATGCATTTGGGGTTGAATTTGAGCTTGGTGATCAAATTTGGAAATTCCAGAAATTTGATTCACGTTCGAGTGGGGAACTTCACGCTCGAGCGTGCACTCTGAGTATATGCACCTCTGCTCGAGCGTCGAGTTTTACGCTCGAGCGTGAAATGCATATACCCAGAAGTTCTTGTGTTTTGCAGTCCGCTCGAGCGGGGGAATCTATGCTCGAGCGAGGGTCTGAGTCTCACGCTCGAGCAGAGGTCGAGCGTTCGTCGAGCGTGAAAATCATGCATCCAGTACTTTTTCAAGGGTTTACAGTCCGCTTGAGCGGGGAAAGTCACGCTCGAGCGGAGTTTCCTTGTCTACATGTCCGCTTGAGCGGGGAAATCCACGCTCGAGCGTGGACCTTATTTTCAGCAAGTTTTAAGAAATATTTTCCAATGCATTCTTGCATCCTCATTCCATCCTAAGCATTCCTAGGCCATGTTTAAGATTCCATAATGAGGATTAAAGGTTAGAAACACACTAAGAGCCAACGAAGTAAGTTATGTACAATAAGGACGTGTGTTTCAAGTGTGTGTCTATTATGTGTTATGTAGGTCACGTGCCGCGTACCATTTGACCAATCTACTCCGTCTGTCTGTCTCAAGACCAATTATGAGTAATAATATAGTAAAGCTATGTTTAACTTTATTTATTTTCTGTATGATGAATTAAGATATGTTTTCTGAAATGATATGTTCTGTATGATGAATGATTGTCCAATATCTGATTTGTATTTATGACATCCTTAGCATCATGTGATATCTGTTGGCTGTTACTTGGTATCGGAGGTTCCATCATGGAACTTAATCTGTCTGCACTCTGTTACCTGTACCGGAGGCTCCATTATAGGGCTCAGCGTGTTTATTCTCTGTTACCCGGATCTAGAGGTTCCTTTATGGAACTGGTTATTCGTAACCTTCATGTGTCTGCATCTGTTCTGTATCTGCTCTGTTAATGCTAATGGATGTATCACGTATACTTAAGCATACCTCATGATTTCTGTATATGATCTGGACAAACTATGAATTTGATACGAAATTGAATTATGATTTCTGAATTTGTACGGACTCATTTATTGAAACCCCTTTACCCTGTTATTGTTCACTGAGCTTTCGCTCACAGTTTATATTATATATGTAGGTGAACCGGCGCGTGATCAGGGCCAGAGTTGACGACCTTCATTTCTGTTTTTGTTAGCCAACCGTTGTGCCTCCCGAGGAGGTTCCGATCGAAGTCTAGTTATATGGCTATTTTTGTACTTATGCTAGTCTCTGTCTATTTTGTAAAGTCGGGTCCTGACAATTACACTTTTGTAAATGTTGATGTCCTTCGACTAACACACTTATGTATATATATAAGTTTTGAAATATTCTGTCCTATGTATGTTATCACAGCTCGTTAGACCTTGTCTATTTTGTATATTTGCTTTCGCAGCCCCTTATTATGTGCTGATTTGTTAAGAGACTTTTGGTAATCCACGGATTACTGGTCGGTTACGATCCTAAACCTACAGGGACGGGCTTGGGTCGTGACATGGGCGCGGGTCAGTTGCGGCCACGAAACCTCTAATCCGCCATCCGTACGCCAAATTGGTGAATTGGAGAAAATCAATCTTCATCCGTCCGCCAATTTGGCGGATATGGATTGAGCGGATTGATTCGAATCGATTTGGCAGTTTAAAATTTTATAAATTTGCAACAAAATTCAATTTGTGCACTTCCTCAATATATATATATATATATATATATTACAGTGAATGACTTAAAAAAGTATTATAATCACTATATGCCTCATCCACACATTACAATCACAGCATGCCTCATTCACATAAAGTATTGTAATTTTTAAAATATAAAAATAATTCAAACCACAAAAAATCATGAACAGAGCAGTAGTATAGATTGTATGCCTCTGTTACATCTATATCTATTTTTGAAAACAAAAATCAACCAGCATATATCATCTTTTTTATTTATTATTTTTAGAGTTAGATTTAAAAATAAAAAATATAGATAAATAATACATTTATTTTTTTCAATTTAAAAAATATATTCAAGTTGAAAACTCTTTTTCAACAGAATGTATTCAATATAATATTTAAACTGTTTTTCAATTGAAAATATAAATATAATATCTAAACAAATTGAAATACAAAGTCTTTCAAATTACTAAGAGTGCTCGCGGTTTGGCGGTTCGGTTGCGGCCAAAGGAATTTCAAATCCGTCATCCCTCTAAAATTAGGAGGATTGGAAAAAAATAAATCCGTAACCGTCCGTTCGTCATCACGCACCCGTCCAAAATGTGGTGGATTGGTTCGGTTCGATTGGTTTAGACGGATCGATATATCCGTTGCTCACCCCTAAGTATTACTATTCAAGTTCATAAAGGAGACTTAATTTTGAAACACAATATTGTAGCAATCTATTTTGAGGATAACGTTAAAAATATCAAATAAATAATCAAAGAATAATGTTTGGGACCCTTTTTGGGGAGACCTCCACAGTGATGTGGACCAATAATGTGTTTGTATTTTTATTTTTTATTTTTTTACTTGGACCAATCACAAGTAAGTAGGGATTGTGAGAATGATATTTTATAAAGATCTGAAATATCTCAGATCAATGTAAAATCCCAAAAATATAGGGCTTGTTTGGTTTGTATTTGAGAAACATGTTTTGAGATAAAAAGTATGAAAATTTGTTTGGTTTGTTTTTTTTTCAAAAGATATTTTGAAAATTTATTTTGAGAGAGAGTTTTGAAAAAATGATTGATTTGATGTGTATGAGAGAGAGATTTGTTTGAAAAACTTGTAAACCAAACAAGTTTTAGAAAAAAATTTTGAAAAAATTTGTTTAGTTTAATTACTTTTAAAAATTTATTTAAAACCTATACTATTTTCATTTTTAAAAGGCCAGAATCGCAGCACTAACGTCTTTATCGATGATGGTGATAGATTTTAGATAGGCTTGAGATGAGCAACTTAGCGGTATTTTTGGTAAATTTTCCCAAACAATAGGGGTATCTTGTTCTTCTTCTTCACTTTCTGTCCTCCTAGACGTATACAGTATACACATATATATATATAGCATTTCGAGATTCGTTTCGCTCTCTTCCGCCGCCCCCCCCCCCCCCCCCCCCCCCCCCTCTCCTCCCTCGGACAAACCTTCCCGGTACTCTCTCTCTCTCTCTCTGCAATCTGTATCATTTCAATTGTGTATCCGTTGTTTATAATTTGGATTTCATTCGCACAGTTTCGATAATTTTGTAGCAACTGTGATCGGATCGATTTGGTTTTTCACTCTCAGTTTCGTTCGATCCAGACCAGGAGGATTTTCTCGCTGATCAAACAGGTATAGTTCTTAGATCTCACTTCGTATATGTGTATAAGCGAATTTATGTATATACGTTTGAGTGTCAGTGCATGCACGTGTGTATATCAGCTGAAATTTAGCTCCTCTTGATTCTATTTCTGTTGAAGTTACATTAGGCTGATTTGCGATTCTAGATTAGTATCGAATATTCTGCGGTTTTTGCCGATTGCATGCACTTGACGTGTATGTATGAATGGTTGGGAGGTTCACTGAGGTTTTTAATTCGAAACCTGTTAGCAGTTTCTAATTGTATCGCGATTTGACCGTTTGAAGGATATGCAATTTGTAGTTCTTTTCAGAAATTGTGATTGTTTTTTCGTGTATGTATGTGTATGTATAAATGTAGCTGCATTCGAACACTGTTTTATCATTTTTTTAATTGTTTTATGATGCGACCAATTGAAGGATATGCAATTGGCAGTTATTTTCTGGAGTTCAAAGATATATACATTCAATGAAGCCTAATTGAGTTCTGAATTTATAAGGTGTTTTCTGGCGTTTTCCCCTTTTAACAACGCGTGTTAGCCATCTTCTGTCATATATTTGCTTTGGTTTTGTCGTGCACTTGTTTTCTTAAAATAAATTTTTTGAGCTGGATTGATGTTTTAGTCGAGAACATATCACGAATAATGGATAAGGAGTCCGACAAACAATGGCCGCAGCTAAAGGCATAATCTAGGAAGTAAGGATACGGATACCGATACGATATGATACGGATACGGCGATATGGCAAAATTTGAAAAATTAGGATATAAGTACGGCGGGTGATACGCTCGTAAAAAATATTATTTTTACAATTTTTAGTAATGTAGTATGCATAAAAATAAAAACCTCAAGCAAAAGACAACTTGATAAAAAAGAAAGATTCTTATAAAACTAAGAGTCTTCAAGGTCAATAATTTCTACTTGCTCCCCTTCATCAGTGAATATCACAGCTTCCATATCTGGTTCATTAAGAGAAAGACTTGCAATTTCAAGTAAGCCTGCACCCTCCAATGAATCAAAAGCATCTCCACCAACATCCTATAACTTGATTTCTCCTTCAATGTACTGTCGACTTCTCCTTGATAGGAGACGAAGATTGTTGTGCACAAAAATTAGATCTTCAGCACGTTGTAGTGTCATTTTGTTTCTTTTCATGGAGTGAATAAAGGAGTAGGTACTCCAATTCCTTTCACAGCATGATGAGGAACATGGCTAGCCAAGCAATTTTAATGCTAAAGATTGAAGCATAAGAGCAGGAGACCCATGTGTAAACTACCAAATAAGTGGATCTAATACTCCTTTATCAATCTTTGAGTCAAAATTTCCAAACATATCCAAACCTCCTGAAAACTTGGCATATTCCACATTTACAGCCCTTCTCTCCTCTAAATTTGGAAAGTATTTCTTGAAGCACTTGTTTCTCATACTTGAAATTTCATCATCCCTATGAGGAGGGACACGATTCGGATTTTCATTAAGCCACGTTGAACTATAATACCTAGATTACAACATTAGAAAGTTTCAATATTAAATTATGTTATTCATATTGAAAGACAAATGTGAACAAAGAAATCTAATTAGTAAGAATATGAATTAAGTTGTTACCTTGGATTCAAAGAATGTGCAAGGCAATGAAGAGGAGTGTTACTTTTGGCCCACCTCTCAACTAGTATATTGTGCACAACGGAATAAAAGATTGATTCCTCATCATCTAGCTTCCCTTCATGCCTAAAGATGCTTGCCTTTATCTTTTCAATCATGGTGTCCCACATTTCATAGACTAAGTGAAGACATGGTTTGTCAGTGTCACAAAACCTAAGCATCTCATAGATAGGCAATATAAAAGACAAAATGTAATCAATCTTATCCCACAACACATCATTCAATAATTTTTCCTTCATAGATGCTGCTTTCCCAACATCGTCTTCAAGGGTACGAATTCATTGAAAATAGATAGCCACATGGAGTGGTTCATGATGAAGTTTTTGATAAACATCACATCATCAACACAAAGTGTGATCTAGTGACATTCATCATAAGCAAAAGCAGTACCCCTTGTTTCCTTTGGAGCACAAATATTCTTAAGAGCAAGATTCAGTGTGTGAACTACACATGGTGTCCAAAAGATATTCGGGTACTTACTTTTAATGAGTAAACCAGTTGCACTACACACGGGAGCATTATCTGTAATGACTTGAATGACATTGTGATGTCTAACTTTTTCAATTGCTTGACTAATTAAATTGGAAATAAAAAATTTGTCTTTGTGCTCACCTTCACAATTAACAGCTTTCAAGAACACAGCCTCAGCTTCTGATGCTCCCGTAAAATTAATAAGGGGCCTTTTTTGAGAATCAGTCCATCCATCTAAAACAATACTCAACCCCTTTTCCTTCTGTGATGCTCTAGTTGGCTCCAACCAATATTTTGAAAATCGAACCGGTGAGCGAACCGGAAAAGAGACCGGATGGACGGGTCACTGGTTCAATCGTCTGGTAAAAGCGATTGAACCTTGGCGTCATAATTAATGTTATATAATTAAAAATTATAAATAAATAAAAATATATATAAATACTCAAATAAAAATAAAAATTGTTGTATAATATTTATTAATAATATTTAATAAAGTCATAATTGATAAAAAAAGTCACTTGTTTTAAAGAAATTAAAATTTTTAAACATTCCCTCCAAACAAATTGATTGAATGTTAGGTTTAATTTTGGAAGGAAATGAAATTTTCAACTCTCCCTCCAATCAATATGTTTCAAATAATTTGATTGAATCCCACATAGAATTTTGTAGGTTTTATTTGAAAAATCTTTTTCTATAAATAGGAATAGACTTTCATAATCTTCTCCAACTTCCAATGAGACTCTCCTTATGAGAGGAGACTCTTGAAGTAAGAATTTTTAGTCAAAATTTTGAAATATATTTATATACAATATATATATAAGAAAGAAAGAAAGAAAGAAAAAAAAAACCTAACGGTCCAACCCACCAAACCTGGTCCGGGTCACCGGTTTTTCCGGTTCGACCGTCGGGTTTTCCGGTTTTCCATTTCTAGGCCGGTTTTGCTCCTACTTCGGTTCTAGGGGGTTGACCGGACTAGAACAAGGCCCAGTTCCTGGTCCAACCGGTTCGACCGGCCGGTCCGGTCCAGGTTTCACAACATTGGCTCCAACAACCTCTCTACGTTTGTCCTTTCCTTTTGAAGCAATGTAATCCTTAACAAGTTATAACCAGGTGGTACATAACCAGGAATTGAATTGTTGGCAGCAAATTGAAAAGTACTAACATAATATGGTTTCCTTGATAAATGAAAAGGTAACCCTGCTGAATAAAACATGCGAGCAATCTCAGAATGCAATTGTTCCCGAATAACAGGGTTGAATGCCTTTTCTAGAGCAGAAGTTCCAGTAGCCTTTCTCTTTCTTGGCTCATACCCTTCCTCCTGAATCTTCTAGTATTTAAAGGCCCTGAACCTGTTGAAGTAGATTGGCTAGTGGAAGGTGGTAAAGGAACTTTTTTAGGCATAGACATCTTTAACCTCTTCTCGGTTTCTTCAATTTTCCTTTGCATTTCAGCAAGGTGTTGCGAAGTCACTTTGGGGCACACTCTAATCCCATAGCCAGAAAGTTTTAACAAATGTGCCTTGACCCTAAAGTATGAGCCCTTGTACTCATTTTGACAGTAATTGCATTTAAACTTGGTATTACCACCTCCTTCTTCCATTTTTTCTAGTTTTGTAACATAACACCAAAGAGGAGCATGATCATCTTCTTCCATTGGTGTACCACTTGTTGAACCTAAACTTCCTGTACCTGAACTCATTTCCTAAAATTTATAAATTTGATAAAGAAATAAAACAAAACATTAATGTAGTTATCTTTTGGCATGAACATAAAAAAAATTCAGTATTTCAATTAAATTTCAGCAATTCAATTCAATTCAATTAAATTCAGCAATTCAATTAAATCTCTTAAATCTTTAAAGAGATAGTCTGTAACAAGTTACTGAAGAGAAAACATAAATTAACATTAAGCAGAAGATGCAACACAGGTACAGAAAAAAAAATTTAAGAGTAAATTTTCGGTTACTGTTTAACAGAATTGGAATAGAGTAAATATACTTCGGATTAGGATTACCTTTTAGCTTAGCTGTAAAAAAAGAAAAAAGAAAAAAGAAAAAAATAAAAATAAATAAGAGAGTGAGATTGAGCGAGAGAGAGTGAGATCGAGCAAGAGGGAGAGAGAGATGACTCACCTTGATCGACTCCTCCTCCTCCTCCTCCTTCTTGCTGCTGTTTACGAGCTTGAGCTTGGGCTTGGTTGATTTTTTTTGTTTTATTTTAGATTACTTTTGTTATTTTACATTTTGACTCCATTATAAGTTTTTATAATTATTTTTTCGCCCAACTGTATCTCGAAAGTATCCCAAGCGTATCCCTGAAGTATCCTCGCGTATCCCAAACATATCCAAAATTCAAAAAATTTAAAAAAAATTGAGATACTTCTTTGCCGTATCTGATACGTATCCCGCCGTATCGGACGTGTATTCGTATCTGATATGTATCCCGCTGTATCGGACGTGTATCCGTATCCGATATGTATCCAACACGCGTACGGGGAAATTTCGGAGTATCCGTGCTTCAGAGGGCATAATTAAGATTATATACTTCGTAGTATTGGTTTCGATAATGCAGGGTCCTGTGAGACTGGGATTGAGCATGATTTGCATAAAGTAGATTCTCACCCAAACTTGTATTCTCACACTTTGTAGTTTCAACTTTTTTCTTATTTTAAATAGGGAAAATTGCAAATAAATTGAGAACCAAAAAAAAAAAAAGCAAAAGACTGGGGGAATAAAAAATAATTCAGAAGGATGCGGAAGGCTCATAAAATTTGCAAGAGCATGGAATCTCCTTTATTGAAAAATTTTGGACTGAAAGGCCCCTTTGTTTCCATTGAATTTACACAATATTGCCTCTTTCTCTTCTTTTCCTCCTCCTCTTTCTTCCTCCTCCCTTTGCAACTTCGATGGCCGGCCACCTGCTGCCGGCCACCACTACTGGCCCTCCCTTGAGAAGAGGGGGGAGGGGTAGTTTTGTCCTAAACAATAGTGATTCCACCTATTTGCTGTTATTTTGCAAGTTTTTGTTTATTTTTTTTGCAATTTTAGGAAACATCTTATTTAATTGCAGTATTTTGTTTGTTCTCTCCACATAACTGCAATTTTCTTTTTTAAATAAGGGCAAAATTGAACCCAATAAAGGAAAGAAAAGAAATAGGACTTCTTTAGATGGTGGTTGCACGGGCCTGTCATGAAGCTGCCCTTTCCAGCTTCCCCTTTAAGTGTGAAAATAAGATTATAATACATAAAAACACTAAGCACTCTTGGTTCTGTGTCATGGAAGGTGATGTTAATTCTAGATTCTGCAGATCTTTAGCTGTTGAGATGGCATCAACAGCTGGAGCCACAGGATGGTTGAGAGGAAAAGTGAAAGCTGTTCCTTCTGGGGATAGTTTGGTGATAATGGGGAGCACCAAGGCAGAAATCCCCCCTGAGAAGACAATCACTTTGTCATCCCTCATTGCTCCAAGATTGGTAAGTTTATTCAATCTGCATTATTTGTTTCATATTTCATACCTTATGTTCATCTTATTTGTTCCTTTATTTAACCCTTCCCTATTTACATTTCTAGGCCCGTAGAGGTGGTGTTGATGAGCCATTTGCATGGGAAAGCAGAGAGTATTTAAGGAAACTGTGTATGGGAAAGGTGCTCATTTAAATGCTTTAGCTATAGCTATGATTGCAATCTATCGTTTCCTAATGAATAAGTAGGATATTTTTAGATCTGAACCAATCTGCTTTTGAATAGGATGTCACATTCAAAGTGGATTATACTGTACCATCTATTGGGCGAGAATTTGGCTCTGTTTTCCTTGGTGATAAGAATGTCGCATTGATGGTTGTTTCTAATGGCTGGGTAAAGGTATATTACTCTTGATTTGTGCATACATTTTTTTATTTTAATATCGGATTTTGGCTGTCTATGGGTGGGCAATTGCTGAATCTGCTGGGTGCAGGTTAGGGAGCAGGGTCAACAGAAAGGAGATGCTAGTCCTTTCTTAGCAGAACTGCTACGTCTTGAAGAGCAAGCCAAGCAACAAGGGCTAGGACGTTGGACCAGGGTTAGTCTAAGTTCTTTACTTCTGTTTTCTCCCCATACTTTTCCTTTTTTTCTAGTCCAGTGGAGCAGCTATGTTATAAGTTCTGTACCTTCCCCTCCTATCTTGTCCATGCCATAATAGCAACATAGTGCACTTGCACTATAAGAAACCATTCTGGACTTGCGCTAAGAAATTTATAGTAGTGCCTTTTTTTTCAAAAGAATGAGTGCTATGCTGACAGGCTTGCCAACTGTTACTCGTTAAAAACAACCCTATATAATTTTCCTTTCAATTCTTTAACAAGTGAAGGTATGGAGCAGTCATCTATAATATTGAACATTAAGGAAGCATGTCTCTTGTTTTGACAGGCTAATAGTTCCAGTCTTAGATGTTACCAGATTTGTTGATTGCTATGGATAACTTCATTTATTTAGGCATGTAAGTCATGTCTCTATAATTGGTCACTATAGGGTGGATTTCGAGCGACAGATTTTTTCTTAATAAAATCACTGAAATACTCTCTTAATGTTTTTCCTGCTGCAAATGTTGGGGAAACCATATCCTTTGAAAGTAAAAAAGAAAACTGCATTATTAGAGTAATCCATGAGGAGTTAAACTTTGGTCCTTTTGCTTTGAAAAGACCACACCTGGCCACAGATTGCAAGTCATTTGCTTTAGGTGTCCTGTTTTCAAGTTTTAATAAATGCTTTACCAGTGATGACGAGATTAAATGAGGAACATTTTCAATAGAAAACTGACAGTAATTGGTTGTGAGAGAGCATCATATATTATTGGAAAGAGATTGTTAATGATTTTAATACTACCTTTTCCCTTTTATTTTGTTGGGAGCAGTGTATGCTTCTCCCTTTCACTGGCTATTGTTTAATTATTATTATTATTTTAAGTCTGAAACAATTGCTTGAGCAACACTAAGCAAAATGGATTTTTAAACTACTTTTTTCTTTTCTTTTCTTTCTTCTTCTTTTTTTTTTTTTTTTCACCCTTTTTTAAGGGACTAAAAACTGGAAAAAAGTGTATTTGGAAATGGCACCACATATGCCATAAGTTCTTTTCTCCTCTTTCCTCTCTGGTTCCTGAATTGTCTGATTCATCTATGTTGGGATGGCTGCTGCTGACTCTTTTTGTCTCTTATGTTTTATCTCATCATTGGTATCGAGGTATAGAGAAGAACTATGGTTTAAGTAATTTACCAGTCAAACAAGAAAACTCACTAGTGATGGACAATAATGAACTTCCTTGCCAGCAAGAAAGCACCTTATAAGTAGGGCCCAGGACCTTGTTGTTTATTTCTTTTTGTTTAATAGTAAACATAAGATATGTGAACTTCTGGGAAAAGGGTAGGAGTGTGGAAGATAGTTCTTCTTCTTTTTCTTCTTCTTCTTCCTTGCACCTGTAAGATACTTGTCAATTATTCATGTCTTTGAGACGAACTGTTTGTGAACATGCATAAAAGAAATAACATGCTAATGCCTTTTCTTATTTAACTGCGGGTTGCAGACACCAGGTGCTTCTGAGGCATCCATCAGGAACTTACCTCCATCCGCCATGGGTGATCCTGGCAACTTGGATGCAATGGGCCTCCTAGCTTCAAACAAGGGAAAGCCCATGCAAGCTATTGTGGAGCAGGTTCGTGATGGAAGCACTCTTCGTGTTTACTTACTTCCAGAATTTCAGTTTGTCCAAGTGTTCGTTGCTGGAATCCAGGTAGAGAATCCAAAGTTCATACTTCCTTTCCAAAATGTTTCTAATAAATTTTGCAGGTATGTGTTGTTACTCTTATTCACTAATACCTGTTTGGTCCCATCTTTTTATTATTCTTTCATATCTAAACCAGGCACCATCAATGGGAAGAAGGGCTGCATCCGAAACAGTGGTTGGAACTGAAGTGAACTCTGATGAATCAAATGTGGGAGCTTCTGGCGAACCTCATGTCTTCTTAACATCAGCACAAAGACTTGCAGCATCATCAGCATCCTCCAATGAAGTTGCCCCAGATCCATTTGCAAGGGAAGCCAAGCATTTTACAGAGATTCGTGTGTTACATAGAGATGTGAGTGAATATTTGTTCTCTGTCTGGCTGTTCCTTTGGGCATTGCATGATCTTTAGGTGAACTTAAGTTCCAATCTACCTTACAGGTCCGCATTGTCCTTGAGGGCGTTGACAAATTCAGCAATTTGATTGGTTCAGTATATTATCCCGATGGTGAATCAGCAAAGGACCTAGCATTGGAGCTCGTTGAAAATGTAAGTCATAATATTTATGGTGATCTGAAAATAGGAGACCCTAGAAGCATACTGATTTTTATTGTAACTATATGTAAGAATTGATTATTTTGATCTTGATAAGGATTTATCATTGATTGATATGATATCCTTCACTTTATTGTACCATGTATATATATATATATGTTCTGCATCTCCTTACCAATGTATTGTAACCATTTAAAGAATCCAAGAAATCTCTGGTGGCATTTGCACAATTCAACCAAAAGATGTGGTGCATCTCTTGATATTTTTATTCTGTGTTTGTCCTTCTGGCTTTTGGGTATTTTTGCACTCTTCTTTTAACTTGTGTGGGCTGTCTAATCCTTCGTTTCCAAGCTTTATCTGGAAATCAATGTTTTATTCCCTTCTTATCCTCGACCGACTTCCTTTTAGGCCTCCCTCGTCTTTTTGGCCCCTTCACTGCAGATATGAGATATCATTTTCTTTGTTCCCCACTCAATCAATTTAATACAGTTTGTCAATATCATCATGGCAAATGGGAAAACACGTACCTTCATTTCCAGTCAGGCATTGGAGAATGCTTGCTCTACTCTTGTCTACTTAACATGCGTACTGAGTAACTTGAAAAGATGGCTACTTTAGATCTTAAATTTCGTTAACATTTGAAGAGTTTTTGTTCTTAGTTTTTGAAAGGTGGGCATTTGATTTATTCTAAAAGCAGCAGGTAGTACCAAAGATGAGATTTGATATGCTTTGTTAAATTCTGTATTGTTCTGTTTTTTGTGGTTTACAGTTCTCATATCATATATATATATAGACAAGTAGGTTGCAGCTCACATCAATTGACCCTTCTCTTTGAATGGAACAGTTTAAAAGGGAGGAGTTGCTATCTGTTCATTATTTTTCCTTTTGGGATGTTTTTCTTCTGATACTTTGTTTCTTCTACATTTATTTCAATTGTATCCTCCAAACTCCTTACATTTCAAAGACATTCATTTAAGGCCTGTTTTAATGTCTTATGGAAATTGAATGGCCCTGTTTTACATATCATTTCTAGGTAAAATAAAATTGCTATCTTGTGTGGAGAAATTAGGGAAAATTGATCTTTTAAATGATGGTAAAAATATGGGTGTTTTGTCAGTTTAAGGAAATCTCCAATGAATATTTCTAAACTGTTACCTTCATTGCCTGCACCATTTGATGCTTTTCTTCCGCCATTGTTCCTATGTCAATTGTTAGGTACTTGAACCACTATCTCCAAATTCAAATGGAATTTCTGTGCTATGTTCCTCAGCCTGTTATGTTAAATGTTTCTGAGCCCTATACTTAATAGTATCTTTCCTTTTATGTAGGGTTTAGCTAAATATGTTGAGTGGAGTGCAACCTTGATGGAGGAGGATGCGAAGCGGAAGCTGAAGTCTGCAGAACTTCAAGCAAAGAAGACCCGGTTGAGGATTTGGACAAACTATATCCCTCCTGCTACAAATTCCAAGGCAATTCATGACCAGAATTTCACAGGAAAGGTTGGTTACTTGTTCTTGTAATATTTATATCTGAAATTTATGAATTCTCTTATCTATTGTCTAAGTTGGCTTTCTCCAGGTCGTTGAAGTTGTAAGCGGGGATTGTGTCATTGTAGCTGATGATTCTGTCCCATATGGCAGTCCATTGGCTGAGCGACGAGTCAATCTCTCCAGTATCAGGTGCCCAAAAATGGGAAACCCTCGTAGAGATGAAAAACCTGCTCCCTATGCCCGTGAAGCAAAGGAATTTCTTCGACAACGTCTCATTGGCCGTCAGGTATGGAGACCTTTTCTTTGCATCAATTTTTTCCATTTTTTTTGGTTTCTGTTAACATGGAAGTAATTCTAATTTGATTTGATTATACATTCTTTCAGGTGAATGTTTCGATGGAATATTCCAGGAAAGTCAGCATGGCAGATGGACTCAGTGCTGCAGTTGGTACAGATTCAAGGGTGATGGATTTTGGATCAGTCTTCCTTGTATCTCCAGTTAAGGTTGAAGGTGACGATGCCTCTACACCTGCTCCACCTACTGGGGGCAGCCAGCAGGCAGGTGTAAATGTTGCTGAGCTGGTTGTTGCCCGAGGCTTTGGGACTGTTATTAGGCATCGAGATTTTGAGGAAAGATCAAACTATTATGATGTCCTTCTCTCTGCTGAATCTCGAGCCATTGCTGGGAAGAAGGGGATTCATTCTTCCAAGGATTCTCCAGTAATGCACGTAGCAGACCTGATGACGGTTAGAAACTAATTACTGATACTAACTTTTTCCTGCTGTAATATCCAGTTCATAAAATTCACTACTTGTATTGAAATGTCCCTTTAGGCTTCAGCAAAGAAAACAAAAGATTTCTTGCCATTTCTGCAACGGAAAAGGTTGCCAGCTGTTGTGGAATATGTTCTCAGTGGTCATCGGTTTAAACTTCTAATTCCCAAGGAGACGTGCAGCATTGCTTTCTCCTTCTCTGGTGTCAGGTGCCCTGGTCGTGATGAGCCTTTTTCTGATGAAGCAATTGCACTTATGAGACGAATGATAATGCAGAGGGATGTTGAGGTACTGCTATTCCTCTTTCAACCTAACACTCAGTTAATTGTTTCTGTTCCATTCTTTCATGTTTATTCTTTTGGGCTCAGATTGAAGTGGAAAATGTTGATAGAACTGGAACTTTCTTGGGATCTTTGTGGGAGTCAAAGACTAATATGGCTGTGACACTTCTGGAAGCTGGCCTGGCAAAGCTTCAAACTTCCTTTGGCACTGATAGGATCCCGGATGCTCACCTTCTTGCACAGGCTGAGCAGTCTGCCAAAAGGCAGAAGTTAAAAGTAAGAAGCAGAAATATTTCAAATTCCAAATGTTCTCCAATCTATTAATGATTGCATTGATGCTTATGAATATCTTTTGGCAGATATGGGAGAACTTTATTGAAGGCAAGGAAGTTTCCAATGGTTCCACTACTGAGAGAAAGCAGAAAGAAGAGCTGAAGGTGCTTATAATATGTTTATGTGTTAGAATGCCCTTCTTGATAATTGATTTTTAGCTATCTTTATCTCAATAATAATTACTTTCAGGTAACTGTTACCGAAGTCTTGGGTGGCGGCAAATTTTATGTCCAGGTTGTAGGAGATCAGAAAGTAACCTCTATTCAGCAGCAGTTAGCATCTCTAAGTGTTCAAGATGCTCCCGTTATCGGCGCCTTTAATCCTAAGAAGGGTGACATTGTTCTTGCTCAGTTTAGTGCAGATAATTCATGGAATCGGGCAATGGTAAGGGTAACAACCTGCTTGTGTTCAATAGTGAATTGAACACAATTGTTTCTGTCCAAACTACTTTTTTTTCCTTTCACTGTGATGTGCCAGTTTTGCTTTCATCTTGGGTGAACTCTCAAAGCTGAAGAGTAGGATTTTCTGGGCAGTTTCTATATTCATGGGCATAGCGAGTTTGATGTAAAAGGACAGGGGAAGGCTATAAAAAAATTAGTATTATGTTTAGGGAGGCAGAAGGAAGGGCTCATGCAGGTTTTACTTGATCTGTCTGACTCTATCCTTTCAAGTGGTAATTTGGGAAAGGGGCATGTTGTTTCCCAATTGGTGTTGTATTCTGTGTAGGAAGGCAAAAGAGTAGGTGGATTCTTTTTTGCTTCAGTGAGGTGGTTATCTTTTCTATTTTGGTGTATAATGGGTCATGCCGAGTTCAGGCATCAAGTCCAACTATATGAGTGTTGGTTAGGGGGTGCTGTGTGAAGAGGATACTAAAAGCTTGGATGGTGGTGGCTCTCTTGTGCTTGATAAATTGCATTCGGAGATAAACAAATGGCATACTTGACGATATAGATATGGCATTGCATAGGTTAAATGAGTCTTTAGTTCATACTTTCCATTTTTTGTTTCAGCATTAAGTTTTGTGATTCTTCCTTAACTTTTGCAGATTATATAGGAGAACTTTCTTTTGTTGATGGTTTCTTGTCTTGGCATTCTATACCATGAGTGTATATAGGTTGCCCCCTTTTTGGCTCTTTTAGTGGATTTTTATTTGCCTTAAACAAAACAATAAATAAACAAATAAAATGAAGTAGTCTTTGCAACCCATTCTTTCATTCTTTATAGATATTGATATTATTTCAAAATTCTCTTCTACCAATCTGTAATAATTCCCAATCCCTTCTGCATTTGGGAAACCACCATAAATACCAGTTCTAATGCTGAATTTTCAATTATCCTACGTCACCTAAATTGAGGCTTAGCTGCTGGTCAGGGTTTCATTCACATACTGAAATGAGAAGATGTGCCCTTTTGTTCTCTATAGTGGTGGACAATGTCATAATTTATCAAAATGTTCAAAAGTGAATATGGTGGCTGTCCATGGAGGCTTTTTGAAAAATGATATTAATCCTACTTGTCATGTTTCAGTGGTGATCCGATTAACATATTCTATCTACTTGAGAGTGTTTAGAACGTAAAATAACAAATTGACTTTGCGAAGCCTTTGTTTTGGGATAGATGGATAATTTTGTTTGAGCTGGCAACTGCTTAAGTAAGCTGTATTATGCATCGCTATTGGTGATCTTAGATGGTGATTTAAACCCACTACACTATACTTGACAATTAAAAAGTTTTTTTTTTACCTTTTTTCTTTTTCTTTTCTTTTCTTTTCCATTATGCTCAATAATTAGAATCATCTTCTTTTGTAAATTATATATATATATATATATGTATATTATTTTTATGTTGTACCTTCATTCATTCTCATTGAATTTGTGAAGATTGTAAATGCACCTCGAGGAGCTGTTGAATCACCAAAGGACAAGTTTGAAGTGTTTTACATTGATTATGGAAATCAAGAGGTTGTTCCTTACAGTCAGCTACGACCAGTTGATCCTTCAGTATCCTCTGCCCCTGGCCTTGCTCTGTTATGCAGCCTTGCATACATAAAGGTTCCTAGCTTGGAGGAAGATTATGGGCAAGAAGCAGCTATGTGTCTGAGTGAGCACACACTAAATGGCCCGAAAGAATTCAAAGCCATAATTGAGGAAAGGGATACTTCTGGAGGAAAAGTGAAAGGGCAGGGAACTGGGACGATCCATATGGTCACTTTGATTGATACAACAGCCGGTTTCAGTATAAATGCTGCCATGCTTAAGGTTTGAATAATATTTCTCTAACTAGATTAAGAAGCTTTTTTTTGTTTCTCTCTGTTGAGTTAGCATGTCAATTTTCCGAACACCCTACTTCCTCCGATATACTATTTTAATGTATTTATAGTGCCTTACCCTTGTACTCCTTTAACATGCATATACTGCTTCTGTTGGGCCAGTCTCCTGATTATAACTAGCCTGATGTAAGAGAATTTAACTGAAACAGTTCCAATATGCTTATTTTATGAATTGAATTGAAAACATCAAAATTTTGTTAAGCCTACAGTTATTTGCTTATGAATTTATGCACCCCAGTGGATGTGAGTTGACTACGAAAAGCTGCAAATAATACGTACAAATATGCATATATTCATAGCACTTGATGCATTTCCTACTTGTGCTTTTGTTGGCTTAAAATTGTTTGACCAAGACTTTGTGAATTCTGCAGGACGGACTTGCTAGGATGGAGAAAAGGAGGAGGTGGGAACCCAAGGAAAAACAAGCAGCCATGGATGAGTTGGAAAAATTCCAGGCAGAAGCACGAAATCAGAGGCTAGCGATGTGGGAATATGGAGACATCCAGTCAGACGAGGAGGACTCAGCTCCACCTCTTAGAAAGGCCGGTGGTGGGAAGCGATAAACACAAACTTTAGCAACCTCAGTTACAGTAGTTTCGGAAGATCAAGTCTGGTAGCCTGAGAAGAGTTAAACTAGGGGCCTGATAATATGCTGCTAGAGAAACACAATGAGAAAACATGCAGCTTAATTTTGTAATGCTTTGTACTTCTTTTTTTCCTTCATTTTTTTCTTTCTTTTTTTTTTTTTTTGGGTTGTGTGGTTAAATTGAGAAAATTTTCTTTCGGACAATATTTCTTTTATACAACTTTTAATAAGGCAAACGCCAACATGTCTGCCAGTCTCCTTGTGGGGATAACAGATACAATTTTCTTTCATTTTTTCTTCTTCCCAGTTTAGCAAACTTATAAGGTCTTTTTGTTCATTTAGTCTGGGGGTTCATTTTAGTCTCAAATAATGTTGCAATTGCTAGTTTTTTTTGGTGGGTTCATTTAGTTGTTATTTCTGTTCGTTGTTTAGGTATAAGTAGGTCTCTACATAGAAAGATACATGAGGGAGTAGTTACTGTTGGCTTTTGGCTCAATATCAACTACCAAATTGATTTGGTTTTGATGTAATATGTTTCCTATTAGACTCAGGATTCGTGGGAGCATTTATTTCTTCTACTTATATTTGGTTTTAGATTTTCTAAAGCTTTGTTTTGAGTGTTTTCTTTATTGGTTTTGGATTGAATTGCAAGGAAACTAAATTTGACTTGGATTAGCTTTAGAAAGGACTCTTCGATTATAAATATGTGAAGTCTCCCACTCTTTAGATGAATTTTTCAATCCCTTGGTAGATAGATCCCTTTGAGATCCTTAATGGACTTTAGTCCTTTTGGGTGCCCCCTTTGGCCTTCAGTAACTTGGTGGTTCTCTGTTGTGCATCCTTGCTCCTTGTGAGACTTGTTCGTTGGCATATCTTGTTGAAACTTGTATAAAGAATTTTGGGTTTGAAAACTAGTATTTGGATTTGATGAGTATTATGAGAGTTTATTTTGTCGTCATTGTAGCCCTCTGAAACGTTGTTCTCTTTTTGTGGTTGCATGTGGATTCTTGTGGATGTAGGCTTAGGTTGAAGTATGTAAATCTTGGTATAGTTTGAATTTTTCTTTCTTTGATTTGTATAATTTATATGATTATTCTTTTCCATATTTGAAACAATCACAATTATTTTGGTGTGATTGAGTTTTTTCAAGGCTCTCTACACAACAAATTAGTACTAGAGTTTAGATGATGATCTAGGTATTGCTTTTGCTTACATTTGAAGATTTTGTGATCAATGGTGGTTTATGAGTTGGAGAGAAGGTTAATTAAGAGAGCATGCAATGTTGAGTTCATAATTGGTTTGCCACTCAAGAAAGCATGCAATGGTGGTTTATGGATTGGAGAGAAGATTAATTAATTTTCTTGAAGTTTTATGCAGTAATGGCCATACCTGTGAGACTTTAGAATCAAATTGAATTTGCATGATGGATTTGTTCGTGTCGCAGTTCAGTATTTTGATCGGACTTGAAGAATTGGACTTGGTACCTCTTTTGCAGTTGCCTAAACGGAGAAATTGAAACGTCTCCTATTTTTTGAATCGGTTTCCTCCATATTGAATCAAGCAATTAATTCGTTTGTCATTTATCTAACCTTATTTTAAGGCTATTTTTTGAAAAAAAATAAAATAATAAAAAATCATTGGGCCTGGCCCGAGCTTAAGCCTAGCCCAAGGCCCGAATTTTCCTAGGGCATGGGCCTGGGTTGAGAATTCACGAGAGTGCCTTACCCGTCCCTATTTTTTTGGTGAGAGGCCGCAAGGTCCGAACACGGATCAGGTTAAAATTACACCCATAGAGAGGAGTTGCTCTAGCTACCAATATAATTGTTTAACTTAACTCAGCCAAATGATGATGATGATAATAATTTGGATAATTCTTTTTAAATGAAACCGAGGTCCCAAGAATGCCGCTAATAATAACAAAAGTAAATTATACTAAAATCTCAGAAAAAAACAAAGAGCCTCAAAAGTGACTGTTAAGAGTTGTCATGAACTCTTCTAGAATTATCTAGACCATTAATTACATATGTTGAATAATCTAGAAGACTTTGAAAAGATCTAGAAAAATTCAGAAGATTCTAGGACATCGTAAAAGAGTTCGGAACACAGGAGAAACTTGTAGAAATTTAGTAGGTTTCAGAAGATTCTAGAATATTACAAAAAAGTATAGAAAATCCTACTATATAATAGAATAATTTAGAGAGTTCTAAAATATAGAAAAAGTATGAATATATGTTATAAAATTTTAGAGGCTTAATCCTAATTAAGGCTGCAAACAAACTGAGCCGAGCCGAGCTTTGCCGGGCTTGAGCTCAACTCGTTTATTTATCGAGCTCATTTATTGAGCTCAAGCTCGGCTCGATAATTTTTTTAATATTATTTATATTATTTAATATATAAAAAATGTATTTATATATATATATATATATTTATATATTTTTAATATATAAATAATGTATTTATTATATAATTTAAATAAAGATAAACGAGCCGAGCTTATGCGAGCTTGAGCTCGGCTCGTTTATTAAACGAGCCTAATATTCAAGCTCGAGCTACTAAACGAGCCGAGCCGAGCCCTTAACGAGTCGAGTCGAGCTTGTTCATGAACAGTTCGGTTCATTGGCAGCCCTAATCCTAACTATCCACTGAGGATGTGGATAGCTAAGTTCTACAATATTGGAAAAGTATGAGTATATGTTATAAAATTCTAGAGGCTTAATCTTAACTGTCCATTGAGGAGGTGGATCCCTATATAGAGGGAAGTGACCTGTTTAAAAGATACAATAACAAGAAGTGGAGTCAAGTTCTCAAAAAGTGAAGTGTCATTGAAAACTTCTTTTGTATATCCTTGAAAACTTCCTTGGTATACTTGAATGTACTTTAGTGTATCTTTATGTCTAAATAAAAATTTAAGTTTATAAAAGAAAGTGTCCTTGAAAAAGTGTTCTTGAAAACTTCATCGTTATAGTCTTGAAAACTTTCTTTGTATACTTGAATGTACTTGAGTATATCTTTATATCTAAACAAAGATTCAATCTTGTTTAGTCGTTGTGTTCCAACGTACTTCAGTGTATCTTTATATCTAAATAAAGATTCAAGTGTATCTTTATATTTAAAGAAAGATTCACTTTTGTTTAGTCGTTGTGTTCCAACTCAATAGTGCGTTCTAACTCTCGTATACTTGAATACGATTCAAGTGTATCTTTATATTTAAATACAGATTCACTTTTGTTTAGTTGTTGTGTTTCAACTCAACATTGTGTTAATGTACACTCAATTTGAGTGTAAATAAAGATTCATTTTTGTTTAGTCATTGTGTTTCAACTCAACATTGCTTTAATGTACTTTATATCTAAATAAAGATTCAAATATATCTTTATATACTGCTGTGTTCCAACTCAACAGTATGTTCTAACTTAACAGTGACCATCAATCATATTGTTAACAACATAGATAAAAAAATTAATATCTTCTTAAATGTGTATCTTTAATCTATCTCTCGTCTATGTAACATTCATTTGTCTATCTCTTGTCTATTTATTATACCATATCATTAATAATATAGATAAAAAACTAATATCAACTTCTCTTAAACATATATCATTTATCCATCTCTTATCTATTTATCCATCTCTTATCTATTTATCGTTTATTTATCCATCTCTCATCTATTAATTGTTGATTCTATCTATGAATCAAGTTACAGATTTTGTTTTTGGGTTTCCAAAGAAAGCCCCGAATGGATTGGATCAATTCTGCCAATGAAATGAACACTTCATATTCGTCGGGGTTTGCTTCTAGAAATGTAGACATTCATTCATACATGGTCTAAAGAAGTGTGCAAGGTAATTTGTTGGTGGTCCTATTGCTATAGTATACATTGATACATACCATATCATATCCACAAGCAATTATTCACTACCAACCAATTATGTCGATATCATGACGCAAACTAATCTGTACCATCCATTTCATTTAAACTCTGTTATGAAACAAATTTTCAATTTCACCCGATTTCATCATTTTGATAACACATTATTTTGATGCTTACGCAACTTCAAAATTATATCAAACATATGGATGACAAAAAAATCTTCAATTCCTCGATCGAAGTTTCACTGGAGAAGGAAAAGCATTGATGTAAAATCTGACAGATCAATCTCATTTACATTCTCATACATCAAATTGCTTCAATTCAAAACAAACCTGAATGAGCAAAAAATTTGCAGACCGTGTTTTGGTGAAAATTTCAGCATCCAAGAGACAACTAGCTCAAAATCTACCAAAAGTCAAAACTAACGACATCACTATCACCTCTTTGCTTCTCTAATTCTCGCGCCTGGTGTTCCTCCGACGAGGAGGGGCAGCCACATCGGCATCTTCCTTCTCATTCTGCTCTTCCTTTTCTTCACCGCTTCCTTCTTGTTTGTTAGAAGTCTCCGCCACTCCCGTGTCACTTGGCCCCACATTCACTTTTGCCTGGCAATAGCAAGTCATCGGCACATTATAAGAGGAAGCTTCTAGTACCCTTCAATGGTTATCAAAAAAGCCGAGAAAATCAGCAATTTAAAAGAGGCTTTGAAAACTCACCGGTTTCTTCCCGCCAAAAAGGATTTTGAATAAAACTGTGACGATAACAATTATGATGGAGACAATGACACCGATTGTGATGTTTGGTTGCTGCTCTGCCTTCTCAATGAGATCCTGCAAAACAAAAACAAAATAAACTCAGATTTACAACACAGCAAACAATAATCATAAAAGCAATGGCAGACAACATTCGGATGACCAATCTTACATGGACTCGGGTACAAGTAAAAACGTTTATAATTTTATATTTCTAATCTGCTATGAGAGATGAAATGATGTTATATGGACAACTTGCTCATTTTATAATAATCATACAATGAAATATATATAGAGTGATAGTGTTAAGCACAACATATAAAAAGTGTCTGGTGAAAAGTACAAACACATATCCCACACTCTTGTCTAAGTATCGTTCGACATAGGTATTTGGTTTATTTAAAAGAGTCCATGCAACATAACTGATGACTCACCACAATTTTAGGCTTGTATTCAGCCAAGAAAGGAACGTCCGCAACCTTGTAGAGAAGGTCAAACACCATCTTCTGCAATAGTGTAACTCGAATAATTAGGTAACAGAATTATCAATCACACAAAGAACATCAAACAGAAGTAGCACAAGCAATTACCTGGAAGCCTTTGAGACCATCTGAAAGTCCGGAAGCTGCCTCCTCAGCCTTCTGTTTCTCCTTCTCAACTTCGAATTTAGGTTTCCAAGCATTATCCCTGTACGATGCTGCAACTTTTGCATCACTAGCTATTAGCATGTTGTCAAACAAGATGCCATCCTGCATTGTCCAAATCTCTATGCCGATGGCAGCAATAGGCTCAAAGTTAGGTCTGTCGAGTTCAAAGTAGTTAGGATTTGGAATTTCCTGCGGCTTCCAGATACCCTTGTAATTAGGGTTGTCAATAAGTGAGGCATGCCACTTTCCCTTGTAAGCTGGATTCCTCTTCATTGGCCTCTTCCACTCACCGCAACCAGGAGCTTCATCACACTTTGGGTTGTCAATCTTTGGAACCTCCCATTCACCATCTTCTTCGTCATCCCAATCTTCGGGTTTTGTTGCCTCAGGGTCATCAATCTCTTCGGGCTCATCATCTAACCACCCTTCAGGTTTTTCTGCTTCCTCATCTTCAATTTCCATTGGTGCATCCTCATCCCAGTCATCTGGTTTTACTGCATCTGGGTCAGGAATTTTTGCTCTCTCATCCCAGTCCTCAGGCTTCTTATCATCTGGGTCAGGAATGGTCTTGGCAGGAATAAGTGCTGGCTCAAAATCCTCACCAGATAGGAAATTAGCCTTCTTCTTCTCCTCACCATCAATGAGGATCCGCAACTCATTATTTGGTTTCAGAATGGCAGTATAAACATGGGTCAGCTTGTCAGTTGGCACAGAGGGTGGGTATTTGAGATGGTGTTCAACGTATTCTCCACTCTTAGGGTTCTTATGCTTTAAGATAAAGTGAACCTTGTTGGTGGCCCCACATTTATCAGGTCCAAACATTATAGCGTAGGGGGATTCATTGTCAAACTCCTTCGCTACCCACCCAGCATCCTGAGGACGAAGATATTTCAAATATGCACCACCACACTCTAGTCCATTTTGGAGGCGAGTTTCAAACTGAAGGACAATAGTCCCATCCTTGAGTTTCACAGGCTCATCAAGCACTTTCACAATTGCGTACTTTCTGGCCTTCTCACTCACAAGAAGCCCATAGTCATCATGTCCCTCACTTTTTTCACGTTTCCATACACCTAGGACCACAGAATGTATAATGTCAAGACCCAAAAAGAGAGCATAAAAAACTCTAAAATCATCCATAAGATTGCAATAATAAAATAAAAATGTCAAAATCCATGAAGGAACGAGTTGTATACAAAAGATAACTCATTAAAACACAATTCATAAATCACTTCAAAGTATTTCGAGGTTCCAAAATAATACAAAGAATATAATCAAGGGGCTGCAAAATGATGATAAAAAATGAACGGAGATACAGACATTGTCCACTAATTTATTCATTTCTCCACCAATAGATACCATTTGAAAGAGATATCCAGGGATGCATTCCAGTATTACAAAAACAAGGTCATAAACCATAGTGTGCACAATGGTTTACAGAATAAACAGATCAGTCTCAACAAGAAATATAGTCACTACATGTTGAATCTGTGAAATATAGATGTGTCCTACTGTTAAAGCTCAGAACCATGATTCTAACAAAGTGGAGTCCAACTAAAAGACAATAGCCAAAAATTATAAATGCACATGCTGCAACGTGTTTCAATCACAAATAATCAGCCAACTGCCAATCAACAATCCAACTATTAACGCGGTAGTAACACTATGCTTAAGATGCATAATCAGTTCACCCAAAGGAGTAGTACAAGAAAATAAATAAAGGAAAAAAATGGAAAAGAAAAAAAAGAGGAAAGCTAAAGTTCAAATTTCATATCCATATATTTGGGGGGACACAGCAAGAAAATCATGATACAGTACATTGCAAATTTGATATCCATTTAAAGTGGGGGCAACTTGCATCAAGAAAAACAAATGACATAAGACTTCAGAAAGAACTGACTGAGGAGTTTCTCTGTGCTAAAATTTAGCCTTGAAAATATATTTGTTCTCTACTTCCAAGTAAAAAACATGAGTCCCAAAATTGGAAATTGATAACCTTTTGTCATTTTTCTCAATGTAAACCATTATGGTAAAAACGCAGCTAAATCCATTCAATCAAGAGTGCAAGAGCCATCAAACCACAATCAAAAGCCGTTTCATTATCAAAATCACAAAAATCCATTTCATTATGGCTCTATGCTAGATAAACAACACGGAGTGCATTTTGCAAATAGCTGTGCCAATGCTATACCTAACTCAGAACAGTTAAAAATTCATATTAAGAGAGATAAAAACAAGCTATTGTATTCACCCCAATGTTCTAATGCAACAAAAAAGGTACGTGGAACAGTTGTCCGCAGTTTTGTATGGTAGATTGCAACTTCAACAGTCATTTGCTTCAAATAATTATTTAATTTCCACTCAAGTACGCATCTTAAAGCACCAAATCACACCCATTTTTTCCCCTAATATGGAAAACATTTCTCAAGTGAAATAAAGATCCTCTCCATTTCCAAAAATCCACCTTTTATGAACGCAAATCTGAAAGCAAAATTAACCTGAAGTATTTTTAATACCTTAAAAAACGAGCTTCAATTCAATGAACAAACAACATATCTCAAATCATGAAAAACAATCGTAACTTTAATCAGCTTAATAAAATCAACAACAACGAAAATACCTTTATAATCCTCTTTCTGAGACACGATCCAACTCCCCTCAAACGCTTCATCAAACGACTCGTAAAAGATCTACAAAAAAAAAGAAATACAAAATTGTCAGCAAAAAAGATCAGTCCATACATACACACACACAATTCATTAAAAAAATGTAACAAAATTGAGAGATCTCTCACCGTATCAGAGGAAGCGCAGAGCTCGGAAGCGAAGCAACCGATCAAAATCAGCAAACCGAAACAAAATTTCATACAGATCCTCCGATTACCTTCCTCCATCACACTCCAATTCTCAAAATTATCACCAGATCTACACCAATTCGAATCGTCGAAACCCTAGGTTTTTGAGGACAGTGATGACAAATTTGATCTCCGAGAGAGAGAGAGAGAGGTGGAGAAGAAATATAGAGTGGAGTGAATATAAAGTTTTATAGATCTTTGGGACACGTGGCGTTGAGTTGTTTCTACCAATGGCGTTGCATGACACGGGACTTGGACCAATGAGAATCTGCCACGTCAGAGATCTGAATGAGCTCGCTCTTACCGTGCACGGCTGAACTATTGACGGATGAGATTTTATGATGGGTTTTTGGATCGATCTAAGCTGGCCAATGGGTTGACCGTACTATATTGACCTGGTCTTCTCTCCCCCAAACCCACTCTTTCTTTCTTTTTTGTTTTATTTTTTTATATTATTATTGGAAAAATTATTTAAAAAAAAAATTTGACTTGTTTTCAATTAAAAGTTAAACTAGACCAAACAGTTGAAATATGTGAATGGAAAGAATCATTAAATGAAAAACTCTTAATGATAAGAGTTTATAAAAATATAATTTAGGTGAATTTTTTCAAAGACTTATTGATAAAAGTTTTTTATTGAGTAATGGTAGACGTCTCAAAAGTTCTATTAAAATTTTTACCAAATATCTCACATGGTGTGAGACTCATACTATGTGTCCCATGTGGGTCTCACATTTCTATCAAAATTTTTACTAGATGTAAGATATTTAGTAAAAATTTTGATAGAACTTTTGAAATCTCTACCATTTTTGTCTTTCATTTAATAATTTTTTCGGTCAAAATCATCTGTTTAATAACTCTTTATGATAAAAAACTTCAACTATTTAGTTCAGTTAAAATCTTAATTGGAGACAAGTCATTCTTTTATAAAAATCACCTCTTAACAAATTAAATGTTAAAATTTTAAATTCTTCAATTAAAACCTTGAACTTTTAAATTGATTTCAATTTACTAGCCATCTATCTCCGTTTAAAAACACTAATGCAGATGTAAATTTGTCAATTTATTTACTATCTCTGTCAATTCACCAAATATGTTTCTTTCTTTTTATTTTTGTTTTGCAAATTATTTTATACATCTTACAAGTTTTTGTTTATGTTTTTACAAAAACTAAATAAATAAATAATAAAATTGAAAACTTGTTTTCTAAGAAACTGTTAGAAAATAGTTTTATAAAATAATTTTTAGTCAACTTTGAACTAAAATTAAAGTGGACCAGACACATTCGTCGTGACGAGACCACTTGTAACACATTCACCTCCATGGGTAGATAAATACCGAACTTTAATTTTCTCAAAAAATTAAGTAATGAATAAGAAATTAACTCTAACATTACCATTAAACATTAATTGAAGAATGATAACTAGTTTTAAAAAATCTGGTCTCACATTGATTTTCTATGAAAAATTTGTTTGTTTTAGTCTACCTTTGAACTTGGTCTTGGGCCTAAAAGGACGCATAAGTTTTGTACGCGGATGAAGACTTAACCAAAATGATCTTAGGCCATACATAAATATATTTTTGGAGAAAAATTGTATTTAATATATATTTTTTTAATAGGAAATATCAAAAGTTGTTACCACATAGTAAGGAACGAATTCTATGTTAAAAGAGATATTGGCCCTGTTTGGTAGAGCTGTGGGAAAGTGCTTATAGCTTATGCCTAAACAGCTTATAGCTTATAACTTTCAGCTTAAGCTGATTTCCAGCTTATTCTTAAAGCATCTCCTGCCCCACTCAAAGAATAAGCTGTTTTCTGACTTCCACAAAGCTATAAGTTAAGAGCTATAAGATAAACCAAACACATCAAAATAGCTTAAATTAAGCTGAAAGCTGAAATAAGCTGAAATTAAGCTATACCAAACAGGGCCATTGCCAACACTATTCTTGATTTGTATTTTATGTAGTCTGCAAACATCCACCCACCCAAAAAAATTTAGACGGAATTTTTTTTTTTTTTTTATGACATAAAACACACCATACAAATTTATATATATATCAAAAATTTATAAATAGATAGAAATACTTACATAACTTGATTTTGCTTTCAAAAACTCTTCACCAAGCTCTGATACCAATTACAAAACAAAAATGAAAAGGAGCTTTTTACTATTTTTATTATGGAATTATGGTGGAGTTATGTAATTATGGTAGAGAACTTAGAGACAAAAGTGGAAGCACAAAGATGGAGAGAATATGGAGAGAATTTACATTGCCTTATGCATTGGCTTAAATGCCAATTTATAAAATATATATTGCATATACAAACAAAAATCAAAAGTTATGGCATATCTACCTTACGTCTAATTTCTACAACTTTTGACAAAGCTTTACAACTTTTTAACAAAGTCTACAAGCCTAGGTATAGGCTTAGTAAATGCAAAGACAAAAAAAGTCATAAATGAGAGACTTTAATTATTTGTCATCTTTATACTACAATTATATACATACACTGTATATATTTGTCATCAATATATACATGTACTGTCTATCCTCCTCGGTTTTCAAAGAGATAAACTGGTATAGATAAGCTTTGGCTGAGCGGTTTGTCGTGTAGTGTCGGCTGAAAAGATTTTGCTGATCACTTTTCGCCGAATGAGGCAGGTTGCTCCACGTGTCCGAGATAAGGTTGGAGTCGATCAGGAGACAACTGCATTTGATAGTGGGGTCCACTATGCTTCCATCCTGTTAATGAGATTGTGATATTCTTCATCAGTCTCTGATGGAGGGGAATCCGGATCTTGGCTGTATTGCTCATTTCAGAAATGTTCTACATCATTCGCGGTCATGGCTAGTTCCAACGGAAGATCCAAATTATTTCTCTTTTTGAGATTTATTAACATGTCAAGAGCCTCATTAATTTGTGTAGGAGACCTTTGATATGTTATGGGAAAATGAGTTACAAATAATATTCTACCATCTGTAACCATGAATGACAATTTTGCTGAGCCATGGATGTTGGATGCTGCTTGTGAAACAGATATTAGACTATCTATCCAATATTCTATTAAAGAAAGTTTTTGGATATTTTCCAATCGTTTGAGATTTATTAACATGTCAAGAGCCTCATTAATTTGTGTAGGAGACCTTTGATATGTTATGGGAAAATGAGTTACAAATAATATTCTACCATCTGTAACCATGAATGACAATTTTGCTGAGCCATGGATGTTGGATGCTGCTTGTGAAATAGATATTAGACTATCTATCCAATATTCTATCAAAGAAAGTTTTTGGATATTTTCCAATCGCTCTCTCTGGTGGTCTTCATCTAAATAATCATCTTCGAATTCAAAATCTTCAGTTTCTTTAAGATTATGGTTGGAAAAAATGTTCTCGTTCTCGTTCTCGCCAACCAACAGTGCTGGAGATCCAGAAAGTAAAATATTTGCTCCATCGAAAGCCTTTTACTATCCATGAGAGCATTGCTTTGATGATCATTGGATAATCTATCCATTGGATTGGATCTAAAATTTGGAAAATAACTTGATTAGTTATTCCCCAATCTATATCCTCAAAAAACCACATGTCATGGTTTGCCATGATGGTTATTTTGGGAATTCCATCTTTCAAATTTAATTTATCATAAGATCGTTCTAAGATTTGTCTAATCTTATCATGATAATCTTCAACTCGATTTTTAATTAACATAAAAATTTCTTTTGGAAGCAAAGTTCTTGCTTTTTCAAAAAGACAAATTCTTTTTATTTGTTCAAAAACTGGATCAGAAAACTCATCTGATATGAGGTCTGATAGTTGAAGAAAATTGTTTATTTTTTCAAAATTAAAATCTTCATTCCAATTCATTTGTTTAAGAATATTGAAACAAGGATTTTGCAAATCTGTTAATTTAGCTGTTTTTTCAGCTAATTTGTTGGCCAGAACTCCCATGTGTTTTCGAAATTTCACTTTGTTGTCTACAATGTGAGTTTTTCAAACTCCATTGAGTTCCGTATAAATTTCTCTGGATATACCAGGGTTGAAAAATTTTTTTATTTCAGATTTATCTGGTCTAGATGTCTGAATATTAGCTGGAATGGGTTAGTTCTCATTTGACAAAAATTCTTTTGATAAACTGGCATAGCGGGTGCACTGTAAAAAGCTTTTTTAGCTTTAGTCATGCCATCATATACTTTATAGCTCGCTCCTGAATATCTACAAACTTGCAGATTGGCTTCGTTCCAGTCTGTGTAAATTCCAAGTTGTCTTCTTGCAAACACAACATAAACTTTTTCTTCTCTGGGGATTTGTCTGAATATTAGTTGGAACTGGGTTAGTTCTCATTTGATTCCTTTGATAAATAGGCATGACTGGTGCACTGTAAAAAGCTTTTTTAGCTTTAGTCATGCTATCATATACTTTATAGCTCGCTCCTGAATATCTACAAACTTGCAGATTGGCTTCGTTCCAGTCTGTGTAAATTCCAAGTTGTCTTCCTGCAAATACAACATAAACTTTTTCTTCTCTGGGGATTGCTTTTTTAGCAATTGTCACCCAATCTCCTTGAGCGGGTTGTTTACCCTTATCAATTGTTTCCTCTTGGTCTAGAGGCCTTCTACAAAAATTAAATTTACTTGTTTAGCAATTTAATTTTCTGAAATAATTTCTGCTAAGAAAATCTGCAAGAAAATTGTTAGTACCTTTAAGATGTTCTACTTCAAAAGTATATTCAGAAATTTTATTATACCAGGCTAATCTTCTTTCTTGTTCAATAGGTTTTTTATTGATCAAGAAATCTCTTACTGCCTTATTATCAGTGCGTACAATAAAATTTTCTAGAGTTAAATAAATATGAAAGCTCTTTATTGCCAATTTTATTGCAAGTAATTCTTTTTCGAAAATAATATATTTCTGTTCATTTGGTTTAAATGTTCCAGAATTATATCCGCAAATTAATTCTTCTTTTTGTAATTTTATGGGTATTGAATTTTTTCTTGGTCTAATCCCATTTTCTGATAAAGGTATCTCTTTATCATACCATAAATTACAGTTTTAAGAACACATCCCCAGTATGCTTCTAAGGCGTCTGTTTCTAAAATTAATTTATCACCTGTTTTAGGAAGATAAACATCCGGTAAAGTTTTAACATTTTCTTTAAT